CCCGCCTGTTGTTGACGGTCGTACGATGCTTGCCAAAGTCATAACTGACACATTTGGACTTGAACATGACGACTTAGCCGGTGGGTCAATGCGGACGAAAGGCTATGAAGATATGTCATTCGTCGTCGCCGTCGCTTTGAAATTCTCAGTCAGCAGCTGAATTAAAGTTCAGAAACATGCAGGAGCAGGCGCGATTAGGCGCTAGAGGATTGATCGTTATATTACTATGTTCACTGCTCTTCCGATGACGACAAGACCTACAAGTTGTACATTCTGGTGAGTAAGATCCACGGATAAATGAGTGCCACAATTCTGATCAGATCTATTTGTAAAGTGTCAGTGATGAGCGCTGAGCGCAGAGGATCCGGAATCCGCGCACGGTGCAGGGAGACGAACGTAGTGGACGGATATTGTATGGACGACGGCATGCCAACGGTCCTTGAAGGAAGCTGATGATCCATCGTGTGGTGATATTAACCACGAGCCTGGCATGAGGTGCACTTTGTCGCACAGTATTGTACGTTTTTTTGCCACAAATCGACGTCGGTATCTTGGTACGATTTGTGTGGCACATTACACCGCTTAAGAGATGTAATCATATCGTACATAGACGGAGGATACAACGAATTCAATACCCATAAATTACGTCATCAATCAAGATCCAATAATTTGACGGATAAAAGCGGTACACCACTCCTCCATGCACTTTCTGTATCTTTCCGCTGCTTTCCTTCCTCATCGTCCGCTGTAGCGCTCAGCCCGCTCTATCTCTAGCCGCCAAGCTCGACGTTGAGCTCGATACCAGGACCTGCACTCGATACCAATAAATGGAACGGTGAGCAGCCATGCAGTATCGAGACCGGACTGGAACTGATTAGGACACTGCCAGATACTCCAAGGTAGAGAAAGTCGGTGCGTGGCGACCGTTGTGCTCGTTTCCGAAGGTGCTGATGATTCCGGGCTGGGCGTTGCTGCAGGCGAAGGTACGGAACACTGCTCAATCGATGACGGCTCCGCTGACGACCTCTGACCGGCAGGCACGTACGGCGTCGTATACAAGGCCCGGGATACCAGCACCAACCAGATAGTCGCCCTCAAGAAAATCAGACTCGAAGCCGAGGACGAGGGCGTACCCAGCACCGCCATCCGAGAGATTAGTCTCCTCAAGGAGCTCAAGGACGACCATGTCGTTCGGTACGTTTCAAGGTCTAACACTTTATTATCGGTTCTCAGTCTCTTATCCAGCCTTCTTGACATCGTTCACGCTGACCAGAAGCTTTATCTGGTATTCGAATTCCTCGACGTCGACCTGAAGCGATACATGGACCTTGCCAACAAAAACCATACTCCTATTACGCTGGAAATGTCCAAGGTACAGTTGCCACCATCCTTCATGACTTTGTGAGCGCCCTATCCATCCGACACGCCCGATGCGAAAATTTCGACGCGTCTGACGCGAGATTTCGGCCGGAATGACTGTCCAGGGGTCATGGGCGCTGTCCTTGCCCGCCCATATATCTCTGCTTTTGATTCCGGTACGACTCCTAGGCGTCTTGTCCTACCTATATCTGGGGCTATCGCGCTGCCTCCTGGAGCCTCCATACTTTCACGGGTAGCTTTCCTTGTCTGCGGAACTGTATCACGTGACCAGAACGCGTTCCTTTTTTTCTTCCAATCTGTCTCCTATCACGCGTTCTAATCTATACATTCTGGTCGTAGAAATTTTTTCACCAGCTGAATTCCGGTTTGCTCTACTGTCATTCTCATCGGATCCTCCATCGAGATCTGAAGCCCCAGAATCTCCTCATTGACAAGCACAACAATCTCAAGTTGGCAGACTTTGGGCTTGCTCGTGCCTTTGGGATACCCATGCGAACATATACCCATGAGGTGAGACGAGCGCTATTTTCAGTCATCAACTGTTTCTAACCATGCTACTCGCCAGGTTGTTACCCTTTGGTATCGGGCCCCTGAAGTTCTCCTAGGCTCTCGTCATTACTCAACTGCTATTGATATGTGGTCTGTCGGAGCCATCTTTGCCGAGATGGCTTGTCAAGGACAACCACTCTTTCCGGGAGACTCTGAAATCGATCAAATCTTCAAGATTTTCAGGTACCCTTCCTCGGAAATTTGTTACATGCGAGTCTAACAGGCGCATCGCCTTAGAATTTTGGGCACTCCGAACGAAGACATATGGCCTGGTGTTTCCAATCTGCCTGATTACAAGGCCACTTTCCCCCGTTGGGGCGTCCAAGATATCTCTAGGCTCGTCCCCGATCTGGACCCCGCCGGGATTGATATTCTTAGAGTTCGTTGATTCCTCCCTATCTCATCAAGCTCATCTTTTGATAAATTCTGAAACGATCAGCGTCTTCTCGCTTACGATTCTGCGAGGCGTATCTCAGGTGTGCATAAATTGCAGCTCCCATCTGCTAATTTGTCTGACATCTCTGCCCAGCCAAACGTGTCTTGCAACATCCTTACTTCGCTGGCTACAGCCCAGATGCCTAATGCGGCCATCTCGTTCCGTGCGCCTTGTCCCACTGTTTTTTCATTTGCATTCGTCGGTTCAGCATATGTGACTTCCTCCTTTCCCGGAGTTTCTGTTTCTTTCTCATCGCATTGCATTTGCATTCTTTCATCAAACTTATGCCAACTGTTGTTGCTTGCCATCCACCCACGTACATCAGTTTGTAATAGTATTATCGTTCCACCAGCAAGCCTTTGCTTATTATCCTCATTCACACATAATCGCCAGGCCAGGACCTCTAAAATACATTTTTATCAATATATACCGAACAATCCGGGGTATTATTTTATGCTAGCCCGCAACTAAATACGTGGTATCCTGTCTCGCTTGGTACCTCATTATTGACTGTTTTCAACTTCACGATTCACTATCCTCATCATTGTACTCAAACCGTGTTAGCTCGATCTGGAACATATGCAAAACCCTTTTCTCGGCCATCCCAGCGACGTTGAGAACCAGCCGTGTCACTGTCATGGTAGTCGAACACCAGATAAAACTGTTTGTGATCAAAGTCAGTTCCCCCGTTACGCGAGGAGTAGATGAACGCACAATATTCCCAGAAAAATAAGAGAGAGCTGAACAGGACTGTGAGCATATAGAGCGGACCCGATGGACGACGTCTTACCGGTGCGACAAAAGATAGAATGAGATTCATTAATCGAAGAACTGAGGCGGCGCTTAGCATGGCAACGAAAAGACACAGAGACGTGGCTCAGGGGACTGACCAAAGACAACCTACGTGAAATAGAAAAGTGATTAGAACATTGCATTCCATGCGAATAGAGACGTGAACTGACCAGAATATACGCGAATCCATCTCTGTAAAGGATTTTTGTGAAATCATCCTCTAGATATCGAGGTCGGGAGAGCGCGTTCCAGAACAGAGCTGAAAATATGACAGCTTCGAACGCCACCTAGTAGTACCCAAAAAGGAGTCAGACCGAAATTCCAGGAGAGCAAGAATATGGCATACTTACCCCTGGTGCCCAAATGATTCCGGCCGAGTGGCGGTCTGTGAGCATGCACATTGAGAAAGTGGAATTGAAGTAGACAGATTCTGATAATGGGGACGGAGATAAGCTTGAGTCTGAGAGCCTACTGCTCTAGGACGCACCGGTGATATGTACAAGGGAGAATGTCAGGCAGATGAGGTTCGCTATCTGGGTCGCCACGAACAGACATGAGGTTAGGATCATTAGCCGTCCGTCTCTGTCCCAGAGATTCCATATATGCATAAGGGCTAGGACTGCGTACGACGGATGAGAACGGAATCAATACTAAGTGACAAGTTCGATTTACAATTTCCTATGGCGATGGTGATGATACCCATGGAGGCCTACAGGTGTATATCAGAGATAGCCCTGTTCAACAATGGAGACGAAACTTACGGATACATTAAACCAGACTTTGCAGCTGATCCGTTACTGGTATCAGGTTCGAAGATGATCATGAAAACCGATAAGACTTACAACTAAGGAGGCATCAGTATGCCATATACTAAACCGAAGGAAGTACCCACCATGTCGGAGAAAGTGCTCAGCCCTGTCAGCTCTGCGAAATTCATTCACATGTCAAATCGTTGAATGACCGTACTGATCCTAGAGCAACTTACGGCAGAGGTGGATAAGGACGAAGGCAGGAACGAAATAACGGATGATAAGAAAGAGTGTTTTCGGTAACGTCCATGGAGCCGCCCATATGAACCTAACTTCCTTGTCGAGCGTCAATATGTGGTCGTAGAGCATAAGCTGACCCAATGAGCATCCTAAAGTTCACCGCGTAAATGGTAAAGTCCAGCTTACTACGTAGCCGGCAACTGTTGAAATCTGAACATCAAAATGGAAATACAAGATACGCTTCGAAACAACGACTTACTGCTTGCATATCTCGACGCATATACATTGAACGCAACGGCGGTGTATTCCTGAGCGTCCATATTGGAGTCTGGACAACGACGTCCGGGGCCCGCAGGTGAGCTCCTCACACGTAGCAGTTAACTAACCGAAGGAAAAAAGGAAGGCCACATGTTGGACAGACGACAAACCCCATTTAAAAACCTCGATGACAAAACTTTTGGTAATTGCTAGAATTTCCACGGGTCGGGAGACTGGAGTGGCGTACGCGGTTTACGTCTTCTATTGTGCGCGCGGTTAACCCTGCATCACTGCGGAGATTTCACAGGGAGAAATGCTCGGATGCTGTGAAGTATGATCCTTGCTCAGGTTCAGGACACTGAGAGTCAGAAGCTTTCGCATTTTTGGCGGAGTATTTGCTATAGGTTTGAGTAACGGCTTGGTGGATGTTCTGAGAACATATCAATAAGCTTGACTCACGGTGACTCGAAGAAGTCTTCAGGCAAGAAGATACGGTGCCTACAATACGGTTTTTGTGGGTAGCGATGACAACGTGAACGTGAGAGTTACGAGCACTTTTAAAGTAGCTCAGGTGGTCTCCACTGACTCCAATGCCGTCGGATATGGTGTAACGGCTAACATTGCCGCCTCTCATATTGCAGTTGCGCGGCAGCTCGGGGTTCGATTCCCCGTATCCGAACTTTTGCCCCTCAAAGAATTGTAGTAACTACTAAGTTAGTACTGGCCGGTATGGATTTTTTTGACGGCGATTACTGTCGAGTCTCGACCGACGACCGTAGTAGTAGTACCTACTTTCTACTATCGACGTAATAAAACCACCCGGCGGGCTAGCGCGCGCTTTGGGGTCAATAACAAACCGTTACTTACCTCCCTGGAGGTTTGTGTGCAACGCTAACGGATTCATACTTAAAATGCATGAATATTCATCGATTTGCAAGGAGCGGCGCGTAATGTGATGTCGCAAAGAGGGGGCTGACGAGTCAATAGGCGACGTTCTTGATAGAGTTCTAGGGTGGTGGGATCATTCATGCTCGTTGTCCACGCATCCTGGGAAAACGAGAAGGGCCTCCTCGAAAAAAAGAAATGCGTCGGCACCGCGCCAAATCGGTTAGGTTTTGATACCGCTTGCTTCGCTTTCCCTCCATACACCTTTAAGATTAGATATCCTGCTTCTCCTTTACTACGCGTCCCAAGACTCTGTGATACAAGATTTATTCATTGCCGGAATCTCGTCAGATTTGTAATAACTCAGTTGAACGGTGGATGGCATATTTAAGTAACAGACTCCACACACTCACTACAACCCTCACCCTCACCGTAGTCGTGTATGTTGCATCTGTCTACGACAGACTAGTTGTGAGTACTTGTAATCACAGCAAGGCCCGACAGCTGGGTTTGGAGTTTGATCTTTGTTTTCGATGGGTGTGTGAAAATTCCATGTGCGCGAGCAGGGGTAGTTCAATGTAGAACGTAGTAGAATCGAACCGGTTGCGGGACACAGAGCGTATACAGAGCGACTGATATATACATGTATAGATGTTATAGTTTGAAGATAAGAACACAATGTCCTGCGGAGTCATAAGTAAGGGCTTCTCCGCTGGCATACAATGAAATAGCTTCCAGTGGCTACCCTACATTCCGAGTTTGCGTAAAAACTGACGATAAAGAGATAAATAGCATACAAGTTTCAATCGACTGATGAAAGACCTTTCCAGGGCACTTTTGAAACCAGCTCTGCGGCATTGTCCAGGTGCTCGTCGGGTCGTCTGCGGGAAAAGGGGACTTGTAAGTGGTCATTGGGTCCGGTAGTGGTACCACCAAAAGGTAGGTAGGTACAACGCCTGGATAACGGTGGAGAATTTCACAGATCGTGTCAACTCCCAGCTCAGAAAGTCCATTTTTAGCTTCCGTCGTTGTCTGCAAAATGTACAGAACTGTCGGGTCTCTGGTCGAACCTGAATAATCGGGCAATGGATCGTGCCCAAAGAACAATCCATCAAACAACAAGTCTTTAGAGACTTTGCGTGGAATGTAGAAGGAAGTTGTGTTGCAAAGAATCTCCGTCATGGAAGAATAAAAAACCGGGGTCCTCTCAGCGCTATTGATAGGAAGACAGTGATGATCACGGATCTCGGCCTCGATAAAAGTTCTTGTCCCTTCGGCCAGATTCATTTCCTGGAGAGGAGCCAACGGTTTGAATTGCACTGTTTGTCGGCATATCTGTTTGCGAGCAATGACTTTAAACAGCCATCGGCCAGCGACTGTTGTAGTAGGGTTGAGACCAAAACGGGAGAAGCAGGCCAGCGCATCCTCATATCCAAGATGAATAAGTTGCTCCCACACTTCTTGTGCAAGACGAGGAGAGCGCAAGTCGAGATACACATCGTCACTCCCTCCGGCGTATGCAGCCGGTTGACGAAACATGAGGGTCATAGAGGAGGGAGTATCAATATTTTTCCATGTAGAGCAGTGAAAGGTAGTCAGTACTTGAACGAGGGAAGTGGGACCATAAACGCGTGGGTGAGGACCATAGAAATGTCCTATCATAGTAGTCGATCCCTTGGATAAGAGACAATCACGAATGTCCCGTATGATAGGCCCGCAAAAGTTCAAAACTTGGGACAATAGCGATTGATATAGGACGAGCGAGGCCTCGTCGTGACTGAAAAGCTCTGCCCTGTCCAAGATGTCATAAATAAAATACGGGACAATGAGCGAGAAGCCTACCCTATGGCAATTTCCTGGTCTCTCCAAGGATTCATCACGAGCTGAGAAGCGCACCTCCTTTTGGCCCAGCTGGAATACTCCTCGCCTGGCCGTGATGAAGCAAGTATAGGGAAGATATACATGTGCCTGGTAAAGTGTAGCGGAGGACGCTCCCCATCAAAGCTATCTATGAGACACCATACAGGGGAGTGAATAGAATCATACGGGAAGTCGTTAAGGTCGATTCTCCGGACGCCGTCATTCGAGAAAATAAGGGTTCGACGGAAGAAGTAAAAGATGACGTATGTCTCGAGACTCCTGCAGACATCGAATGAGGGCGTACAAGAGGAACATAGACTTTCCAATTCCCGAATGCCCATTCAGGACGATGCCTCGAGTATGATGCATGTCAGTTTGAGAAAAGCGCTGCAGCCGATCATAGATATAGATATAATCCTTGCCTGTAACACTTTAAACCCGTGAGACGTCCTTGGCTCGCAACTGAGGTGATCACAGCGGCATGGGGTGTTATAGTCTGTGACACGTTTAGTGGCGGCACAGAACCCCGGCGTTCCTTTTTGGGACCTTGTCCGGTTATCTTCTTGCGGGCTAAAAGCTGAGAGTCGGAAAAAGCAAAAATAAGGCGGTCTGAGAATGCCGGAAGGTGTATAACTGTGTTTTCGGCGAGAGAGCTGTCATTTCCCCACCAGTTTTCATGGAAATCCTGCAAAGCGCTCATGCCGGTCGGAGTAGTCATGATAGGATGCTCGTGTCGATGAGACACCATGTAAGGTTTACGAGGTGACTAGCCGAGATCATAACCGGGCGGATACCGGACCGAACTTTCCCGGGCGGCTTCAGCCTTCAGCCTCTCCGAAATTTACGAGCTTGTTACGAGCAATCGCGACGACGACAACGACAAAATTGCAACGAACGACCCTAAAGCTCGATCCGACCACGATAATGCCTACACTGAACATGTCTCGTTTATCAGCTGGGTCATCCATTGGGAAGGAAGAACCATCAGTAAACTTGAAGTCCCCGTGGAAGATGAGCCAGTCATTGTGGGTCCACCAGCACGTCTGTCGAGCAGCATAGCACAATGTCAAAGGAAGGCATCTCATCTCGTCGGTGACTCACCTCTTCAATCAATGCACAGGAATTGAACGTTGCGTCCACCTCTGTCACAAGGCGCACGCTTTCTTTCTAGTCGTTGTTTTCAAAGCCTCTCACTCGCTTCAAGGAGAGGCCAGACTAATGATTATATCGCGCTTCAACGTGGGCTATTCCTTGTAAAGCTGAGCGAGAGATCCAAGTAATATACATAAGAGAATAACTTCGAAGTACTTATACAGGAGACGAAGCCCAGAGATGAGAAATGTCCACAGAATTGAATATGGGTGGAGCTGACCGACCAGATCCTTCAGCACATAATCATAGCTCCAGCTGGCTCCAATCAGGTTTTGGAACTTGCTGAGTGGCCATGCCCCTTGCCCAACGGCGGTGGGCTTGGGATAGCCGACATGTTCTCCGGCGAGAACTAGGTAGGTTTACGTGAAGAATGTTCATGATTGTCACGTAGTGATTAGAACGTACCCATTCCATCAACATCGCATAGATGTCCCGTGCGTCTGTTCTCCAGAAGTCCATTGCTTTGTCCCGGTACAACGGAGATCCATAACGCAGCTTGTATGGATTTCCCCTCGTTTCCCAGAAATATGATGCAACCTCAGGTGCTCCACCATCAAGAGGATTGTGCAGATGAGCTATAACCCAACCCTCAGAATTCGTCACGATGAAACGAACGTTCGGCAACCTTAAACAGGTTGTAGAGTTGGTCTGATGATTTCACTCACTTACTCACTTGAACCGAGCACTCAAAGCAAGTGCTTGAGCCGATGCTTCTGCCAGCGGGTCGTCACGCAATTCTCGTCGACATCCGTCTTCATCAATTGCGGTTTCGACAAAAATGAGCCGAGCCTCCAAAGATTCGGCCCGGGACAGCTGTGTATGATGATGGTAGCATCCAGCATCCCGGATATTTACTGAATGCGAAAAGGGTCAACAAAAGGATGGCTTGCGTACAAATAAACCACAGACCCTCATCCAGCGTTTTGTATACGAACATTCCATAATCTACGACCCCGCACAGCGTGATCTCCTCGCCGTTCTGGTCGCGAAAAGAGGCACCAGATTCGTCTGAATCAGGGTCGATAATAATGCCTGGTACAAGACGAATATGACAAGAATCCTTGACACCATCAAGGTCCAGAAGTCCGCTTGGTGTTACGCGGTCGTTGTTCCACCAGATGAACTCCACTTTGTCGTCGACACTGAGCTCCAAGAGCGTAGAGGGCATACCAGCTTTCCCTCGTGACTCGAAGAAACCAGAGAGCATTTGTGGACACTGTGTACGGCGACCCAGTGGCATCAGTGATTTTACATCGAAATCTGGGGTTGATTCGATTCTGGCCTTGATAGCAGCCTTGATTTGGATCTCGCGTTTTTCCTTGATGGATGCGACGACGAAGGAGAGAAAGGTGGTAGCGACCAGGCGGTATGCTGCTGCGACCTTGACAAGGTAAGCTTCTTGTCGATACTTGAGGCAAGGACACTGACCTGGAACTCGGAAGACGCACAAACATTTTCGAGTTCACGAAACAATGACTCGAGATTGTCCGTACGATACTTGGATGTCGTCACGGTCAACCACATTCCCTGTGGAGTCCAATCGCGCTGGGAAAATTGAAAGCCTAAGCGATCCCTTAAGACCATTCGTGTTACTTCCGAAAATGCGAAAGAGGTTTGTTCCTAGACAATGTCCAGTTAAAGAGCTCAGAGAAGTGTACACTGATTTACTTCCTGGTCCAGGTCGTCGTCCGTTGGTGCATCCAGTATAAGTCTCACAACTTGGACCTTCTTGAGAAGAGCTTTGTATTTCCGAAGACGAAGTTCGGCAAGTTTCAAACGTTT